GCCGTCTTCCTCCGGTCCCAGACATCCGAGGGATCGATTTCCCCCGACGAGCTTGCCCGCAAGGGCAGGAGGAGGAGGAGGAGGAGGAGGAGGAGGAGGAGGAGGAGGAGGAGGAGGAGGAGGAGGAGTTCGGACCAGTCCCATTCACCGCCGAGAGGCCGAGAGTCAAGGGGGGGACCACAACGAATGAAATTTAGCGGTTAGACTTGGGTCGGGCATGTCCTCCTACAGGCGGATTCTGTAAAGAAAATAGAAAAACACCAAAAATGCATCAGAAATAAACCAAATTGTCGAAAAGTCGCCCCCAGACTATTTTTTGGCTATTCTTGAATGTACTCCTCCTGTAGAGGGACGTGCCCGACCTAAGGTTAAAGGTTTCGTGCGAGGCCAGGGGGTCCTCGGCTGGCCCGGGAGACCGGTGACTCGATGGCCTCCCGCACGGTCTCCCGTACTGCCGCCTGTGGGGATCCGTTGCCGGTCGCGTGCGTGCCAGAATCGGTGGCCTGGTGGTCGCGTGACACGTCGGGGGAGGCCAGGAGGGGGGCGTCCAAGAAGCGGGGGGCGCACACTCCTCCTGTGCAGGGACAGGCCCGACTTCAGCTTGAGTCGGGCCTGTCCCCCCACAGGCGGATCTCGGGCGAAATGTCGGAAAAATACTCCGGATGCTACACCAACCCAGAGATCCAACGTCGTGATTTTTTCAATACGGGGCCCCCGGAGGTCTCGACCCGTTCCCCGGGACCAGTTTTTCATCCTGAGTCGTTTTTTGACGGTCCCGGGGCCCGGCGAGGGCCCCTTGAGGCCGAAAATTGTGAAAAACCTCCGTCTTGATTTTTTCAATACGTTGGATCTCTGGGAAGACAGCCAGAAAATAATCAGACAATTGTCCCCAGGCTGTTTTTTTTGACGTTTTCTGAGTACTCCCCCTGCAGAGGGACCGGCCCGACCCTGCCCCCAGGGCCTGCGCCTCGTCGCCGGGGCCCGCTCTCGGGTGGCCCCGGGGCTCGAGCGGCGGCGCGGCGCGCCCCCCAGGGGGGGAGGGAGAGGGAGGGGTTGGGTCGGGCGCGTCCCCCTGCAGCTTGATCTCGAGCAAAACTCAAGCATGCTCCCAAGAAGCATCGAGGCATGTCGTCCCCAGACCATCTTTTGACAAATCTGGGAAATCCCTCCTGTAGTGGGACAGGCCCGGCATGAAAGAAGGGGCACGCATGCCCTCTCAAAGGCGGCTCGTTTCCAAAATGTGGTTTCCGCCGTAGCGCCGCGCACATTCGTTCTAAAACTTTGCAAGAACTTCACTGCATATCATGGTTCACGTACCAGGAGCGGTATTTTGGAACGAGGGCGCAGCGAGGGCGCAACAGGAGTAGTCATCTGGCACGATTCAGGATCGTCAAGGACAACATTCTCGTTGATTCGTGGCGTCGAGGTCCTAGGAATGGTGTTTTAGCACGCTTCCGGATTTTCACACGGCTACCCCTCAACGGGGCGCATCCCTCGATGGAAATGAATCATTGCAGGGGCCGGTGAAAAAGGAGCTCTGAGGGAGGGCGTATTCTAACATCGTTGGTGAGTCTTGGGTTTGCGCTGGTCCTCCTCCTCCTCCTCCTCCTCCTCCTCCTCTTCCTCCTCCCCGCTACTCCAGACCTCTGAACAGCCGCGTCGCGAACCAAAACCACGTCGTCAGGCGTCTAGGTCCCTGATGGGCCTCTGGAGAGGGCCCTGGAAGGCCGCTTCTGGAGGCCCCGGAAGCCAGAAGAGGCCCTGGACGCCTAACAACCTCGCTCCTCGATCCTCCTCCATCCTGTCTTTTGCCTTCCCTGGATCTTCGATCCTGCATGGTCCTCATCAGTCCTCGATCATCCACGATTCTCAATCTTTGGTGTTCCTCGATCCGTCATGGTCCTCCTCGATCCCCGAGCCTCCTCGATCCTCGACCTGTTCCTTTCCCTCGATCCTCGATCCTCCATGCTCCTCATCGATCCTCGATTCTCCTCGATTCTCCTCGATCCTCGATCCTCCTCGATCCTCGCTCCTCCTCGATCCTCCTCGCTCCTCCATGATCCTCCTCGATCATCGGTCCCCTTCGATTTCCCCCCGGCGGGAGCCGAGGGGAGCGCGCCCCGAGAGCCCGAGGTCCTGCCACACGAGCAGGCCCAGGGTGTCGCACAGGTGGTAGAAGAGTGGCGGCATGACCTCTGGAGGGCGAGGGGGAGGAGGAGGAGGAGGAGGAGGAGGAGGAGGAGCAGGAGGAAAAGGAGGAGGAGGAGGAGGAGGAGGATCAGGAGGAGGAGGAGGAGGAGGAGGAGGAGGAGGAGGAGGAGGAGGAGGAGAAGGAGGAGGAGGAGGAGGAGGAGGAGGAGGAGGAGGAGGAGGAGGAGGAGGAGGAGCAAGAGGAGGAGGAAAAGGAGGAGGAGGAGGAGGAAGAGGAGGAGGCGGAGCATCGGCATGACCTCTGGAGGGCGAGAGAGGGAGCTTCCGGAGGCCTCCGCGAGAGCGCACGCGAGGACCCCTGGGGACACCACCTCGTCGTCGGCCGTCGTGGGTCGGGGGTCATCGGTCGTCCGTGCCATCATCGTCGTCGTCGTCTTCGTCCTCGCCGTCGTCGCCGTCGCCGCCGTCGTCGTCGTCGAAGTCGTTGGAAGAGGATGAGGAAGATGGGAGGAGGAGGAGGAGGAGGAGGAGGAGGAGGAGGAGGAGGAGGAGAAAGAGAGGAGGAGGAGGGAGGAGGAGGAGGAGGAGGAGGAGGAGGAGGAGGAGGAGGAGGAGGAGGAGGAGGAGGAGGAGGAGAGGAGAGGGGAGGAGGAGAAGGAGGAGGAGGAGGAGAAGGAGCAGGAGCAGGAGGGGGAGGAGGGGGAGGGGGAGGGGGAGGGGAGGGGGGGAGGGGGGGGGGAGGGGGAGGGGAGGGGGGAGGGGGAGGGGAAGGGGGGGAGGAGGGAGGAGGAGGAGGAGGAGGAGGAGGAGGAGGAGGAGGAGGAGAGGAGGAGGAGGAGGAGGAGGAGGAGGAGGAGGAGGAGGAGGAGGAGGAGGAGGAGGAGGAGGAGGAGGAGGAGAGGAGGAGGAGGAGGAGAGGAGGAGGAGGAGGAGGAGAGGGAGGAGGAGGAGAAGGAGGAGGAGGAGGAGAAGGAGCAGGAGCAGGAGGGGGAGGAGGGGGAGGGGAGGGGAGGGGAGGGGGGGAGGGGAGGGGGAGGGGGAGGGGGAGGGGGAGGGGAGGGGGAGGGGGAGGAGGAGGAGGAGGAGGAGGAGGAGGAGGAGGAGGAGGAGGAGAGGAGGAGGAGGAGGAGGAGGAGAGGAGAAGGAGGAGGAGGAGGAGGAGGAGGAGGAGGAGGAGGAGGAGGAGGAGGAGGAGGAGGAGGAGGAGAGGGAGGAGGAGGAGAAGGAGGAGGAGGAGGAGAAGGAGCAGGAGCAGGAGGGGGAGGAGGGGGAGGGGAGGGGGAGGGGAGGGGGGGAGGGGGGAGGGGGAGGGGGAGGGGGAGGGGGAGGGGGGGGGAGGGAGGAGGAGGAGGGAGGAGGAGGAGGAGGAGGAGGAGGAGGAGGAGGAGGAGGAGGAGGAGGAGGAGGAGAAGGATGACCAGTGTAAACCCAAGAATCATCAAAGACGTTGCAAGTAATAAAACCACCCTCCAAGTAAATTCACTGAAAGAAATGCCCAGGTGGAAACCACAGGTCTGAAAATACTGAAACGTGCCGGAACACCATTCCTGGGAAGTCAACGCCGCGAATCAACGTTACTGGTGCGTCCTGCGGATCCTAAACCGCGCCAGGACACCATTTCTGAGACGTCAACCATGAGAATCCTTGACGCTGCTGTTTGCATTTATGACGAATATGCGCGGCGCTACGGCGAGAACCACATGTTGAAACGGTACCACCCTCCATCCGTGAAACGATTGCAAGCGTTTAAAACGAACGTGCGAGGCACTAGGGCGGGAACAACATGTTGAACACAACATTCCCTCTATCCTCGAAGCGAACATGCGCGGCGCTACGGCGTGAACCAAGTTTCGAAAACGACCCACCCTACACCCGTGCAACTCTCGCAAGCTTTCAAAACGAGTGTGCGCGGCGCTCAGGCGAGAGCCACATTTTGAAAACAACCCTCCCTCCATTCGTGAAGCTGTCACAAATTTCCAACTTACGGGTCCCAAATGGCGAGGGAGTCTCAAACGAAACGCCTGGCCCGCCACACCGACAGGTCCCAGGACGCGACAGGGAATAGTTATTTTAAAAGAAGCAAGGATAAAAGAGGAGTAAGAAGAGGACGACGAAGAGAAGGAGGATGAGGAGGAGGCAGGAAGAGGAATGCGAGGTCGAGGGTGTGGAGGAAGAGGAGGAGGAGGCGAAGGATCAAGTCAAGGATCATCGAGGCTTCTGGGCGTTTGCCTTTCGGCCTGGGCCTCCGAGGAGGGAGAGGAGAGGAGAGGAGAGGAGAGGAGGAGCACAGTGAGAGGGAGGAGGAGGATGAGGAGGAGGAGGAGGAGGAAGAGGAGGAGGAGGAGGCGTTGGAGGATGGCAAGGAGGACAACGGAAAGGAGACGAGACGTAGGATGAAGAAGATGGCGAGGAGGATGTGGCAAAGCAGGAGGATGTTGCACCGAGCGCTCCAGCGAGCGGTCAGAAAAAGGCTTTGCCGTGCCCCTGCCCGTTAACATGTGTCACGCGTGCGGAGCTACACTGTCAATGCCGAGCTCTTTCCTGTAGCTTCGTTATGCTCCTGCCCGCAACGCGCACCGCCAGAGGCCGCGGAGAGCTTGAGAGATCCACCTGCCAAAAGAGGAGGAGGAGGAGGAGGAGGAGGAGGAGGAGGAGGAGGAGGAGGAGGAGGAGGAGGAGGAGGAGGAGGAGGAGGAGGAGGAGGAGGAGGAGGAGGAGGAGGAGGAGGAGGAGGAGGAGGGGGGGGAGGAGGAGGAGGAGGAGGAGGAGGAGGAGGAGGAGGAGGAGGAGGAGGAGGAGGAGGAGGAGGAGGAGGAGGAGGAGGAGGAGGAGGAGGAGGAGGAGGAGGAGAGGCGGCGGCAGCGGCAGCTGCGGATGCGCCTCCCGTCCTGGCCTGCGCACCCGAGGCCTCTGCCCTCGCGCTGGCACCTGGGATGAGGCCCTGCTTCAGCCCCTGGAGGTTCTCACCTCCTTTCGTAGTGGGAGGCTTGCACTTTTGGTGGGTGGATCTCTCAAGCTCCTCCTCCTCCTCTTCGCCCCCCCTCTCCTCTCCTCTCCTCTTCCCTCCCCCTCCCCCCCTCTCCCCCTCCTCCCCTCCTCCCCTCTCCTCCTCCTCCTCCTCCTCCTCCTCCTCCTCCTCCTCCTCCTCCTCCTCCTCCTCCTCCTCCCCCTCCTCCTCCTCCTCCTGCTCCTCCTCCTTCTCATCGTCCTCTTCTGGCAAGTGGATCTCTCAAGCTCTCCGCCGCCTCTGGCGGCGTGCGCTGCGAGCAGGAACGCAACAAAGCCAAAGGAAAATGCGGCATCGACAATGCAGCTCGCGCTGGCACCCGGGATGAGGCCCTTCTTCAGCCCCTGGAGGTCCTCACCTCCTTTCTTGGTGGGAGGCTTACACTTCCGAGCTAAATTAATAATCTAACGACCGATGCCGAGACGTCCGCATGTCGTGCAAACCCAACAACCAGCACAGTCATCACAAACTAGACTGCATGGGATGGGCGCACTGTCTGATTACCGATCTGGGGAGGGGTGGCCAGGGAAGAGGACGGGGCAGCACTGCGATCGATCGGAACACATGGGGTGCTTTGCCATTTGACAACACCTGCTTGCGCTGGCTTCTGGTGGGACAACGCGCATCCAATCCGAGATCCATCAAAACTCATACCTGGGCGGTGGGGGGAGGAACCTATCGCCCTCTCGAGGCGGGACAGGCTGGTCTGGCGGACTCCTTCGAGAGGTCCAGCCCGCCCTCTCTGCCCTCATCGAGTCGTGACCTGGAGGAGCAGGGGGAGGGCAGGGAGGATGAGGAGGAAGAGGATGTCTGCGTTTAAAAGCATTTGCTGTCAAAGGAGTTCCGTTGCTTCCAGGCATTTGCCGAGGTTTCTGAACATGTGCGGAGGGTTTCGGATGGTTCCAAAGGTCTTCGGGCATTTCTGACCAAGTGGTTTAACAACTTCCCCCGGGCTCCGCATGATTTCGGAAGCTCGGGGAGGTTTTCAAACACACTTGGAGAGGGAGGGGGAAAGATCAGACGCTAACCGTCGATCAGCAGCACGGCGTACCTGAATCCAATCGGCGACGGAATGGATGAGCATGGAGCGCCGGAGGGACACAAACCACACCTTCGGGACCATATGTCGCTGCTTTCGGCATGCCTTCATCCCGTCATTTTGGGCCATCTTCGGCTCGTCCTGCGAGAACCCGAGATGTCTGGGCAGTGAGCGCGAAGCGCTTTGAACAGAAATGCCTCGAGGCCGCCCACACGGGATCCAAGTTGATGTTGTCGGAGGATCGCGCCGCATCGCCGGTGCTTCGCCAATGTGTCGCCTATGCATCAGCGACGTCGGCGATGCATCGGCGACGTCGGCGTGGAAAAAATCGGGCTCCATATCAAGCCGCAAGGACCCCATCTGGGAGGCCCAGAATGTCTGCCTCCTCCTGCCTCCGTATCCTCCTGGGCGCTCTCAGAGGGTCTTTGCAGGCCTTCAGAAGCCCCCTAGAGGCCTCCGGACACATCCTCAGGTCCAGAAAAGACCAAGAAGCCAGAGAAATCTCGATGTCCGATCCTTCCTCTTGGTCCCCCCGAACGGAGGGGACGAGTTCAGTACCGCCCCACAAAGACCGTTGAGTGCACGCGCACCAAGTTGAACCCGCTGTCGCGCATCGCCCGCACCTTGCGGCGAGCTCGTCGCCGCTGCCGAGGAGGAGGCGGAGGAGGAGGAGGAGGAGGAGTAGGAGGAGCAGTGAGGAGGAGGAGGAGGAGGAGGAGGAAATGGGAGGGCGGAGGATGAGGAGGGAGGGGGGTGAGGAGGGAGGAGGGAGGAGGGAGGAGGAGGAGGAGGAGAAGGAGGAGAAGGAGGAGAGAACAGGGGATTGTGGAGTCACTTGGGCTCGAAAGCGCGCGGGAGGCTTTCACACTGAGATTGCGCGTGCGCGTGCGCATGCTCCGCGAGCTTCTCCTCTTCTTCATCGTCCTCACTTCCTCCTCCATTCCTCCTCCTCTTCCTCTTCCTCCTCCTCCCCGTCCCCAAAGGAAGCAAATCTGTGTTTCTCTCCCCCCAACAGAAAGAAAGAGAACACACATAGATGATCAGCCACCGCTTTGTTATTTCGTTCTTTCTTCTTTGGGGGGTGGGGTGGGGTGGAGAGAAATCCTTGGTGCTTCCAACGGAGTCCCATTGTGCGGATTTCCCATAGAACCCCTGCGTTTTTCAAAAGATTCCTGTTGTAAGGCTTTCCAATCGAATCCCGTTTGTGGCGTTTTCCAATGATTCCTGTTGTTGGGAATTCCGCTCAAATTCCCCTTTGTGGCACTTTCCGCAACGTATTCCCACGGTGATGGTTTCCAACAGAATGCCGTTGTGGTGCTTTCCAACGGATTCCGGTTGTGAGGCTTTCCAATGCAATCTCTCTGTGGTGCTTTCCAATGGATTCCGATAGTGAGGCTTTCACATAGAATCTCGATGTGGTGTTTTCCAACATATTCCGTTTGTGATGCTTCACAGTCGAATATCCTTATGGTGCTTTCCAAGGGGTTCCTGTTGTGACGCTTTCCTATAGAAACCCTTTGCGGCGCGTTCGAAAGGATTCCCACCGTGAGGATTTCCCATCGAATCCCTTGGTGGTGCTTTCCATCGGATCCTTGTTGCAAGGCTTTCCAATCGGATCTCTGCGTGGTGCTTCCCAAGAGAGTCCTGTCGTGAGGCTTTTCAATAGAATCCCTCTGCGGCGCTATCCAAAGGATTCCTGTTTTGAGGACTCCAAATTTTCTCCCTCTGTGGTGCTTTCCGACGGGTTCCTTTCTTGTGCGGCGTTCCAATAGGAGCCTTGGCGCTTTTCAATTCAATATAATGCCTGCGTGGTGCTTTCCGAAAGATTCCCTTTGTGGCGTTTTCCAAAAGAAGCCTTTTTTTTTGTAGCGTTTTCCCGAGGATTCCTCTTGCGACGTTTTCCAATAGAAGCCCTTCGCGCGGCTTTCCAAGGGGTTCCTGTTGTGAGGCTTTCGGCTACAATCCCCTTACTATGTTTCCCATGTTGCGAGGCGCTCCGGTACAGTCCGATTGTTGCGCTGTTCAAAGAATCCCCATCGCGAGGCCATCCGATAAACCGTGCTATATTCCTTTCCAGCAGGGTTCCACTTGTTTGTTCCCACAAAATCCACCCGAGGCGCTTCCCGAAGGATTCCAATTATGATTGCTTCTAACAGAACGTGTGTTGTTTCGCAGCGATTTCCAAAGGATCCCTGTTGTGAGGTCATACAGTGGAATTCCTGTGCAGCACTTCGCACAATGTTCCAAGCCCGAGGCTTTCTCGAATGAATTGATGGTACCTTCCATCAAGTTCCTTGTGATATGTTTCCCAATATCAGCCCTCAGCATTGCTTACTAAGCAGATTCCTTTATGATGCTTCCCAATCGGATCCTTCTTGTAATGGTTCCGAGCAGGTGACTGTTGCGAGGCCATAGAAACCTTGTGGTGCGTTTTCCGATGGATTCCTGTTGCGGGCGCTCCAATATAACTTGTTGTGCTGTCCCAAGGATCTCCGTTGTAAGGGCTTCCGATACAACCTTTTATATTCCTTTCCAACCGGGTTCTAGCTTTACGGTTTTCCCCACAGCTTCCCTCTGGAGCGCTTCGCAACGAATTACAAGTACGAACGTGTCTGGCGGACTGTGTTTGTACAGCTTTCCAAAGGATCCCTGCTGTGAGGCCATCCACTGGAGTCCCTGTGTAACACTTCGCACAAAGTTCCGAGTGCGAGGCTTTCCAATCGAATCCTTTTGCGGTGTTTTTCAAAGGATTCCTGATGTGAGACTTTCCCATCGAATCTCCGTGTGGCGGTTTTCAAAGGATTCCTCTTGTGATGCTGTCCAATAGAAGCCCTCAGCAGTGCTTTGGCTCAGACTCTGATGCTTTCCAATCGAACCCCTTGGTAATGTTTCCCAGCGGATTCCTGTTGCGAGGCCGTAGAGATTCTTTGCTGCGCTTTCCAAAGGGATTTCCTTGTGATGCTTTCCAATCGAATTCCTCAGTCGGCGTTCCAACGGAATCGTCTTGTGATGTTTTCGATTAGAAGCCTTCATTAAGCTTTTTAATGAAGAATCTATCAGCATGATGGTATAGCTAGAAAAGGAGAAAGAGAGAGAGAGAGAGAGAGAAAAAAAGAAAGAGAGAGAGAGGGAAAAAGAGAGAGAGAGAGAGAGCGAGAGACAGCGATAACAAAAGAGATAGAGAGAGAGAGAGAGAGAAAGAGAGATACTGTGCTATATATATATATATATATGTGTATATATACAGATAAGGCTCATAACCGAGAAGAGGGAAACAGCCACGAAAACCCCTGTGGAACCCCGCGTGAGTGCACAGCCCCCCGGCCTCGAGAACGGGGAAGAAGGGAGGATGAGGAAGAGTTGAGGAGGAGGGGGAGGAGGGAGGAAAAGGGAGGAGGATGCGGGGGGGGGGAGAGGGTCGAGGAGGAGGAGGAGGAGAAGGAGGACGAGGAGGAGGAGGAGGAGGAGGAGGAGGAGGAGGAGGAGGAGGAGGAGGAGGAGGAGGAGGAGGAGGAGGAAGGGTCGAGGAGAATGAGGAGGAGGAGGAGGAGGGAGGTAAAGGGAGGAGGGATGCGAGGGGGGAGGGGGAGGAGCGCCACTGCCCACAGAAAGAGCCCCCGAGTCCACGGCGCGACGTCGCCCTCCAGGGAGGCCCACCAGGGCTGGGCCGCGGGTTTCGTGCCGCCTGCTCGCTGCCGAAGGCGCGCGAGATGGGCATCGGAGTACCGGACGAGTGCAAGCGGCAAGATGCGGGCATTGGAAAGGGGGGGAAATTACAGGGCAGTTTTTGATACATAGGGTTTTTGCAGATATAGGATTTTTGATACATGATTAGATTGATGAATAAATTTATGCATGAGCTCATCGTTACTTTTAATACTAAATCCCTGCAATTTTAATACATGACCCGCACGCGGAGCATGTATTAAAAACGGCACTGTAGTAACACTAGGAGGCGAGGGAGGCTTTTTCGCTCGATGCGCGAATTCTGTTTTTCCGAGCATGCACGTATCGATGAACTGAAGGAGATGACTTGTGTGGTGAGAATGAGTGGTACGTCAGCATCACAGCATCACAATAAACGAAATTTTGGCTCAGAAATTGCCAGGCGATCGAATTCCACACAATACCAGAAGAAGTTGCTTCAGCGTTCAAACGATGTCTTTCTTGCAGCGAAAGCCATGTGTTTTATGGCAAGACAGTAAGCCAGGACATGATGAATGGAAGACCAAGACACTTGGGCAACGCGCTGACATACCGTTTGATGGAAGACATGGTGTCCAACACATGGAAACTTGGCCGTGTTCAGGCCGAAACCCTAACGGAGGCCGTACCAGTTCAATGCGCTTCCTCACGCAGCCGGCCATGACCATAACTGCTAGCGGACCGAGCGTGAAGGCGGCGGCGCCGCCGCCACCGTCGCCAATGCCCCTTGCAGGGGGTAAGCGGGAAGTCAAGACACAATGACGAACCAAAGGAGCTGCGAGAGCGAGACCGTTCCTGGTCCAGCCGCCGCAAACGCGGTCGCTTGTCTTCATCTTCACCTGCGGGGAGGTTTTCAGCGCGGTCGGCGTCACGATCTGTGGAGAACGATCGGAGGACGATGTCTTGAACGACGTCCTTTCATTTTTCCCGTACTTGAGAATACTTGACAAACTTGTAAGGGCCCTCAGAGCCGTAAGTAACCGCATAGAAGACGATACTGCACTGCGCGGGAAGTGATTCCAGTGAGGGTTGTAGGGGTATCAGGTGTACCCGATACAATACGCGTGTGTATGATTATAAAGGAAGTTGTGCGATTGATCTGCGCAGGGCGGGAATTCTTTCCGAGGGGATGTGTTGGAAGTCAAGCACTTGTCCCCGCCTCTCGTCTCACCTCGCCCGCCTTGTCCGTTCCGCACCCGGCCTGGGTCAAGCTCATCCGAGGCAAAGAGCATCTGCTGACTTACACCTCCTCCTTCTCCTCCTCTTTTTCTCCAGTTCCTCCTCCTCCTCCTCCTCCTCCTCCTCCTCCTCCTCTCCTCCCTCCTCCTCCTCCCCCTCCCCCTCCCCTCCCCTCCTCCTCCTCCTCCTCCTCCTCTCCTCCTCCTCCTCCTCCTCCTCCTCCTCCCAGCTCGCGAGAGCCTCGTCCTCCAGCGCGCCCTCGCTGGGCGGCGTCACGAGCGACTCCGGCCAGGCGGCCGGGCCGGCCCCCAGCGGGGCGGCCGCGGGCGTGCTCCCCGGCGGCGGCGGCGGCGGCACGCGGCCGACGGGTCGACGCGGGGCGGCGGACGACCGACGAGCGACGAGAGGAGGAGGAGGAGGAGGAGGAGGAGGAGGAGGAGAGGAGGAGGAGGAGGAGGAGGAGGAGGAGGAGGGGAGGGAGGAGGAGGAGGAGGAGGAGGAGGAGGAGGAGGAGGAGGAGGGGGAGGAGGAGCAGGAGCAGGAGAAAAGGAGAGGAGGATGAGGGGGAGGGAGGGGGAGGAGGAGGAGGAGAAGGAGGGGGAGGAGGGGGAACGAAGAATGATATAAACATGAAAGCTCGAAGGTCCGCGCGGATTTCTCGGATCGGCTACCTCCGAGTTTTTATCTGTATTTATTTTGTCGTTCCCCTCGAGGCCCTCGAGAAGGTTCTGGGGGTGGCCCGCAAGCGGTCGGCCGCGACGGCGGGAGCGCGCTCGAGGACGCCGGGTGGGTGGGGGGGGGGGGGCAGGGGAGGGGGCCCAGGAGGGGGGGGACGGGGATGGGGAGGGGGGGCGAGCGGCAGAGAGGGGGTGGTGGAGGGGGGAGCGAGGGAGGGGGGATGGCCAGCTCGGTGCGCTCGCGCCAGATCTGACACCGTACCCCTGCCCATCCCTTGCTATTGCGCTGGCTTGTCTTTGACCGCGGACGCGTGCCACAGCGGATCTGGAACTCCCAAAAAGACCTCGCCGTGCAATGCGCAATCGGAACAGGTGAGCTGCGTACACGGGAGGAGACCGGCGTGCGATCTTGCTTACTCAAGAGGAAGGCGAGGAGGAAGAGGAGGCTGTGTGTGTGAGCAGGAGGACGAGCAGGAGGAAAAGGATGAGGATGAGGAGGAGGAGGAGGACGAACAGCAGCAGCGGGAATCGAGTGGAAGGAGCAGGAGGAGCAGGAGGACCATGGGAAGGCGGAGGAGGAGAAAGGACTGAAACGGAGGGGGACGACGACAATGAGGAAGGACTCGGATCAAGAAAAATGGCCTGTGCTGGGGGCGAGAACGCGATTCCGAGCGATGGGAGCAAAGTGCCGACCCCCAAATGATCCAAAACGATGCCAACGCTGCAGCGGCCATTTTGAGACACCGAAAAAGGTTCCGACCTGTTCAGATAACATCGACAACCAAGTCCTCACATCCTCTCAACAGCAAAAATACAGCAGTTTATCTTGGGGGCCTCTGAAGTGTCGACGGGAACCCTCGCGCGGAGATCACGCGAAGACTTGGCGAAGCTGAAAACGTATTTCAAAAACTGTGCTTGGTTTGGAACCACACAAATCTGAGCAAAACCCGGAAGCATCGTATATTGGAGGCGTGCGTGTTTTCTACTGTAAACTTTTATTTGGGCTGGAATCGCGCATGCTCTTGAAAGTGGACAGAGGCAAACTCGATGGATTCCAAGCACGGTGTCTGCGGAATGTACACAAGATTATGCCGGCATTTGTATCCACAGAAAACTATGCAGAAATTCGTGGACTTGCCAGCGCCGGACTGTTATAATCTCTGTTGGAAAGGCAGCTTAAGCTCTACGGTAAACTGACCCGGGGCGCTCCAAAGAGCCTTCCTGAAGCAATGGTTTTCGAAAGTTGCGAGTCTTACCAGGTGGCGCCGCGGAAATGGAATCCTCGACGCTCGCGAGGGCGGCCTCGACTACAATGGACGTCTTACTTATACGCGCAAGCCGTTGCCGTAGCAGGAGGCGACCGCGACAGTCTGGAAACCATATTGCAAAACCCTTCTACGTGGCATTCGGCTGTGGCTCAACACTGTTCAGTCTAGTCTCGCTCTTCCCTTCCTTGTCCCTCTCCCTCCCCTCCCCTCCCCTCCCTCTCTCCCCCTCCCGGGCCAGTGCTCTGCCGTCCACCTCGCGCAGCACCAGCATGCTAGTGCACTGCATTCGGAGGCCCAGCGATGCCCGCGCGCTTGCACACTTGAGCCCTGCATGTTTTCATGATCGCATGTGCTATTGCTTAGTTTGCCGATGCGACGTCTGGGCACGGCTTCTTTCGTTCGTTTTCGTCGTTTGCTGTCCCTCGCCTCCCTCCCCCCTGCCTGCTTCTCCTGTTCCGCCAGATCTGCGGTCGCCAGGACTCGCCGGCGGAGATCGCGGCAGCCTCGCGGGGGCATAGGCCTGGTAGAGCACGCCGTGCTGGAAGAGGCGCCGGCCGTTCAGCAGCAGCTCCCGCTCCTGCTGGGAAGGGGAGGGCTCCCGACGCTGCTGCCAAGGCCGCTTCTGCCTCTCCTGCCGCCGCTGCTGCTGTCGCCTCCCCTCTCTCTCTCTCTCTCTCTCTCCTCCTGATTCTCCTCTTCCCCCTCCTCCTCCTCTTGTTGCCTTCGAAAAACTTAGGCTGGAATGCTGGAGCGTACCCCCTCCTCCTCCTCTGCCTCCTCCTCCTCCTCCTCCTCCTCCTCCTCCCCCTCCTCCTCCTCCTCCTCCTTCTCTTCTTCTTCTTCACCATCAGCATCAGCAGCAGCAACATCATCATCATCATCATCATCATCATCATCATCATCACCATCATCACCATCATCATCATCATCACCACCACCACCATCATCATCATCGTCATCATCATCATCATAATCATCATCATCATCGTCATCATCATCATCAGTACCATCACCATCACCATCACAATCATCATCACCATCCCCATCATCATCATCATCCTCATCCTCATCCTCATCCTCATCCTCATCCTCATCCTCATCCTCATCCTCATCCTCATCATCATCATCATCATCATCATCATCGTCATCATCATCACCATTGCTTATTACCCTGCTTCTTCCCTCCCCCTGGCATATCAGAATTGTCCTGCCAGTCCTTGTAATTATGTTTTCTCTTCCACCACTTTCTCCTCTTCCCCTTTTCTAAGAATGGTGGTCAGCCGCCTCTCAACCGCCGTCTGCCGCTTCTCACCGCCGTCCACCCCAGATTATTTCGCATTGCGCCCCCCAGTGATTTCCAAGGGATAGACTGTATGTTATGGCAGGCGTAGGTGGCTACATCTGAATATCACATCCCGTTTGTTCAACGGCACACTGCTGGTGGGCAAGACATACGTCAGAGAGGTGCGCAAAGTAGGAAACAGATACGGAAGAGGCCCTTCTTATGCCCGCGTGGCCATCATCTTTTTCAAGGGCCTGAGGGACAACATGGGCGCGATCGAGGACGGGAACGAGAACGACACGGTTGCCAAAACGGTCTTGGGTGAATGGGTGGGGCAGCCAGCGCGAAGTTCGACATGGAGATCGTGCTGGAACCCGTCCTACTCTGCCGAGTGGCAGAGCCATACAAGGACGACAAGCCTGAGCGATGAAGAGAAGATGGAAGGTGTCCAACCAGCGGTCAACACCACCGCGAACTGCTTCTGCTCTGGCGCCCTCTCCCCCAGGTTCTTTTCGCATAGAGGGGTTAAACCTAGCCGCAACAATTTCGACTACACGCAGGAGTGACCCTGGGTAAGAGTGACCTTTGGTGCGCGGCCTTTTGGGGGCCGCGGGGGAATCAAGCACAAGCGCGCAGGACGCCACTGCCGCCTCGCGTTCGGCGATCGGGGGACCCCATTGGGCCCGCACCAAAGGTCACTCCGGCGAAAGGTCACTCTTACGTCTAATCGACAATTGCTCGATCGGAGACCTGTGCCGGCTTTGCTGGTGTGATTGCTGCCTCTCGGCCCTCGAAGCATGGCGCGGCGGGCCGGAGGCCTCTGCCGCCTCTGCAGGCCAGACATAAAGTCGTGGGCCGGGAGCCCTGGCCCTCGAGAAGTGCACGGCGCGACCCTCGTGGGCCTGCAGGCTTGGCGCCCCCTCCCGGTGGGCCTGGGCGCCCAGGCGCTCGACAACTGCGACCCCCGCCAGGATCGCGGCCCCCTCCCGGGGGGGCTGGAGGCCTCTCGCCGTGGGCCAGCCGTGGGCTGGGCGCCCTGGCCTTCGAGAATCAGCGCCGCCGGGAGGATGCGCGCGGCGCCCCTCCCGGTGCGCCTCGAGGCCTCTGCCGGCTCTGCGGGCCAGTCGTGGGCCAGACGCCCCGGCCCTCTTGCAGTGGCGAAGCTCGCGGGCATGGCTCTGTGGGCTCGCCGAGGGCCGGGCGCCCGGGCCCTCGTCGAAGCATGGCGGCCCTCGCGCGAGCGCACCTCCCTGGTGGGCCCGCCTCTGCCAGCTCTGCGGGCCAGTCGTGGCGCAGGCGTCCTGGCCCTGGGAAAGCGGCGGCCCTCGCGAGGATGGCGCCCCTCCCGGTGAGCTGGAGGCCATGGAGGCCTACGCCGGCTCTGCAGGCCAGTCGTGGGCCAGGCCCAGGCCCCCTGACGTCATGACTTCTTTCATGGCGTCGACCCCCAGAGGTCTCGACCCATGCCCTGGGATCGGCTTTTTGTCCCGAGTCGTTCCGAGACGGCCCCGAGGCCTGGTAGAGGGCCAGGGGAGGCCGAAAATGGCGAACAGCCTTCCGTCGTGACTTTTTCATGACTCGACGGGGTCTGGGGGGCGCCCTGGCCTTCGAAAGAGGCGGCCCCCGCGAGGAGGGCGCCCTCTCTCTCCATGGGCCCGGGGGCCTCTGCCGGCTCGGTGGGCCAGTTGTCGACCGAGCGCCCCAGCGTGGTGACCCTGACGAGGATGGCTCTTTCAAAGTATGCTGTGGCACGAGGGGTGCTTACCTGGTCACGAGGACTGCGATTTTGGAGGGCCCTGTCGGCTTCGCTGCTGTCGTTGCTGCTGACGTTCTGCTGCTGGTCATGTGGCTGTCAGTTGTGTCGTTATGGTGTCAGGTTGCTGATTCTTACGGCTGTTATGAATGTGCTTGTGCTGTCATTGCGGTTGCTGTTTCCGCCCAGGTTCTGTTCGACCATAAGCGGGCAGTAGCTGACCAGAAGGATTGTGATTTCGGAGGCCTCTGCTGACCTTGCTGATGCGATTGTCTTCCTATGTGAGATCGATGTTGGGGTCATTTGAAGGGGGGGAGCGGACACACCAGCACGATGACAAACTCAGCGACACAATCGCGAAGCAACAGATCTACAACCCCGAACCTCGTCAATCGCTAGTCAATACCAAGACACCACTTAGGCGAATAACTATCGCGGAGGCATGCTGAAGGGACCAGTTGGATGTGCCATGATGAGGCTGGGAGCCAACAGGACCACGGGGTCTGGGCCCAAGACGCAGCTCGAGAAGGTCGTCGAGAAGAAACATCACCGATCATGACAGGAACTCGCCGGCCCACCGGGCCAGAGGCGTGCTAAGATCTCTGGTAACAAGTAAATCGTATTTCTGTAAATAGCTCGAGCTCGCGGGGCGGCCCCTGGGGGTTCCCAGGCGAAAAGTACCCCGGGCAGGTCTCTGGCAGGGTCCCGCCAGAGATGGTTTCGATCTTGCGCGCCGCCCTCGGGGTCTCCCAGAGAACCCCAAGAAGAGCCAAGAGATCCCCCCAAGAAGCCATTAAGAAGCGAGCCCCGAGACGCCACAAGGTCGCTCTTGGACGCCCAAGAGAACCTCTAGACGGCCCACGAGGCCCCCAAGGCGCCCCAAGAGACCTCCAAGAGGCCTCCCAAAAGATTCCCAAGAGGCAACATTCATTGATTTCCATTGGTTGTTGACGGATTTTCGCGTTCTCGCCTTTTCAGCTTCCCGACGCTCCAGCGCGGCCCAAGAGGCGCCCCCAAGACCGAACTGCCCTCACAATTTTTGAGTTTCGCCTGTATCTTCATGGCGATGTCTGGGGATCCCGTCGGGGGTGGACTAACTTGCCCCAGCGGAACCTAGCTCAACCGATTCAGAGAAAACTGCGCTGCGATTTTTCGGGGGCTTGCCAAACCCGGCTCATCCAATATGTCAGGCCACTTCAAGGGCCGCGAGCGGCTCGGCACAAATCTAGCTGCGCAGGATCCTGCAGAATCTGGCGCTCTGGCTGAGCCGCACTTGTGCTGAACCGCGAGTTACCTCCCAGCTGAATCACAATGCTTGGGCGTCGCCGGATCTTCATGACGACGTCTGGGGACCCCGTCCTGCGTGGGACCCACGTCGCCAGCCTCTGACAAGGCGGCCCACCGCAGGCCGAAGGACATGTCCACCGCGTCGCCGCAGCCTGTGCCCCAAGGAGGAGGAGGAGGAGGAGGAGGAGGAGGAGGAGGAAGAGGAGGAGGAGGAGGAGGAGGAGACCCTGACACTGCGGGACAGTTGCGCAGCCACAGGAGGGCAAAGTGCCACACCAGTTGGAGAAAGAGGTGGTGCGAGGGAATCGAAAACCCCGAGCGAGATGAAGGGAGGAGGAGGAGGAGGAAGAGGAGGAGGAGGAGGCGGAGGTGGAGGAGGAGGAGGAGGAGGCGGAGAAGGAGGAGAAGGAGGAGGAGGAGGACGACGACGAGGAGCCCAAGATCCCCGCGGAAAGGCGGGCGCGCGCGGCGCATTTCGGGCTGCAGGCTCGGGCTGCAGGCTCGTGCAGGCGGGGAGGATCGAAGATCCCAGACGCCCCCGCGTCGTGGAATAGATCAACGCGCCTTCCCCCCATCTCGGGCTACTGGGCCCCAGGGCCGTCGAGAACGGCGCCCGACGAAGAGCACGTCTCCTGGAAGGAGATCGATAACTCTGGGGGCCCGCGCTGGAGAGAAATCACGCGGTCGGCGGGTCTGGGACCACAGGTCTCATGACTCGGCTGCACGCAAGCGCGACGCTGGCTACCTACCAAAACACCCCAACCCAACCCGAAGACCCGAATTTCGGGTTGGGGGGGGTACGAGCTTCATGTGTGTTTTCTCCACGTTCCCCGACCCCCCCAAAAAAAACTGGACATGGAGGGCGAATTGGGGCCTTCGGGTTGGGTTGGGGTGGTTTGGTGGGCGGTGAGACGCCAGGCAAGCGTGCCCCCTGTGGCGCGCCTCCTGCAGAGCGCCGCCTGCGATGCGACACCGTGGCGCCCTGCGCGCGTGGGCCTGGCCCCCGCGCGCCCCCTTCCGCGCCGCGCGCACCCGAGGCCACTCGGGCGAACGGTGACCCTTACGTGTGGCGGATCTTGGATGGAGGAGGAGGAGGAGGAGGAGGAGGAGGAGGAGGAGGAGGAGGAGGAGGAGGAGAGGAGGAGGAGGAGGAGGAGGAGGAGGAGGAGGAGGATGTGACATTATTTCTCCCACGTGCGACGGACCTCAGATCTCCGATTGCTCTTCCTCGTCCCAGTGCTTCTTTCCCCCCAAGCTCGGCAACATCTCGGTGTTTGGTTCAACCTCCACGGCTTCACCACAGCAGCCGAACAGGCGACCCCTTACAGCAGCTGGGGGAAATGCTGTAAGCAACCTGCACCGAGCAGCATGTGCAAAACATTGGGCGACCTCGCCTCGGCGAGCGCCGCTTCGGGGAGGGGGCTTCGCGAGTTCCTTTCGGAGCGCCCACTAGGGCCCCTCCCCTCACGGATCGACCCTCAGCTCGGCCAGCAGCATCTTTGCTGGGGGTACCCAGGCGTCGACGGGCCAGGGGCCCCGCGCACAAGAAGAATCGGCACGCCAGCTGCCTGGGCGTGCGGGGGGCGGGCGCACCTGGCCCCAAGGAGCAGCCCGAAAGAGGACCCCTGACCCTTCGGGTTAAGTCGGGCCTGTCCCTCTGCAGGAGAAGCATCCAGAAATGATTAAACAAAAATACTAGTCTGGGGACGACTTTCTGACCATTCTTGACTATTGTGATGCACTTTTGTACTATGTTCGTCCAGCATCCGCCTGTAGGGGGACAGGCCCGACTTAACTTTAGGGTGGGGACCCGAGCCAGGAGGGCCCGAAAACATTAGGGACGCGCCCAGAGAGGCCTCCAGCGAGGCACGAAGAAAAGCACATGACAAGGAATCGGTGAAGTTCGTGGTTCATGTCCTTCCGATGATTTTCGGGTTGCGATCGCTTCGGGCAATCTTCAGATAGCCCTTAGAAGCCTCCAACACGGTCCAAGACCGCCCAACCAGGGCTCCAAGACGGTCTTAAGACCCGACCAGATGACCCAGCCCCAATATTGATCAAGCGAGCCTCTTTGGTAATGGTTGGTATCAGTATCGCGCCCAAGATGGGCCGCATACCCCAAACGGGAGTCTGAGATGCTCTCCAGAAGCCCCCAAGAGGCCCCCGAGAGGATCCAGAAGCTACATACTTGAAGACCCCCCCGTGAGCCAACGTAACAATATGCAACGTCGCAGTCGCGACACGCTGCAGCATCGTAGTACTGCCTCGCATACTGCCCCACAATGATTTGCCGAGCCTCTTCGAGAGACCTCGGTAGAACAATCCTACATGAATCCCATGCTGCGCTGGCACGGTGGCGGAGTTTGCCGCAATCAGGTGGATGTACAGTGTTTGCGATTCGCGTCGCGCATCGATGGCACCTGAGCGCTGAGACTGCATCCTCATACAGCTCCTCGAATAGAACTGTACATACAAGCCAACGCGGAAGGGTATGTTCAGTAACGCAAGAGGTGAGTGCTGGATCCGTCTAAATGGAGGGATCTCAAGTGAATTGAGCTCACGACGCGAAGACAATGCCGAAGAGGATTGACTACAAGCCCCCCCCCCATGACCTGAACGCCAGGGCCCACAACCTGACGCCGCCCCCGCTGG